ACTGAGGTGAAAGTCCCATCGCATAAAAGTAACCATCGGAAAGAGAACAATTGAGTAGCATTTAGTGCATTCACAACATTGTGAACCAACCCCTCCAAGTTCGAAACTACACGAAGACGGTCCCTCCTAAATGTCACCCTCTTCTTAGGGTATATTTTCTCTTGCTAGCATTTTGTCCCTCTTGGGAGCTGATTTCCTGGGTTTGATACGATCCTGATGTCCCTCTGATCCCCTGTGACGTCAGACCAGCCCCCGGATCCAACCTCAAGCTTCACAAGCTGCAACCCACTTTCCTTGGCCAGCGCTAGGGAATCCAGAGCCCCGAGCCTGCCATTTTTAATTACGCCAGGGCTGGGTGAGCAGGTAATCACTGTGTATTTCAGTAAATTACCTCTCATAAAGGAGCTATCATGTTTGTTCGTGTGCCCTTCTTTCCTGGAATCAGCTCCCCGTTTTCCAGCATCGCCTCTTCCCAGCAGCCTGTGCGCTTGGCGAATGTCCGCCTCGTCGAGCTGGGGGCAGAGTCAGGTGCAGGGGGAGGGGGCGGCGTTTGGGCAAATATTGGACTTGGCCACACTTGCTGTCCATATCAGGAACCCGATTGCTGTTATTGATTGACAGATGTGGGGACCAACTGTTTGGAAAGCTGAGCCCCCTCGGATTGGGGTAGGTGTTTCGGCAAACAGCCCTAATACTAGGCAAACAGGCCTGTTGGAAGAAGTGCCTGGCATGTTAGCAGAGCAAACCAAGCACTGAGCAAACAGCTTAAAAGAATGTGGCCACCTCCACGTAACCTCGACCGAGGTATTGATCCCACTGGAGGCGGGAGAGGGGCTGCGCGGGGAACAGAGAGATACGAACCCCAGCAGAATGTAAATGTTATCTTTAAGCTGCGGCTGTCAGGGCCCTAATGGGCATCTGTTTGGAATTTGTCTTCTTGCAAATCTTTAAATCCAGGTCAGGGCCACGCGCGGAATTTAATAACAACTTTTCAGAGAGCTCGGGGCCTGGGACGGATTTCATTCTTCCTAAGTCCAACTGGGACTTTCTGCTCTTCTCAAGAGGGAGCAGCCTCAGACGGAGACTTTCTAGGTGCACGGCCCCCGCTGAACATTAGCAGAAGGCTACAGGAGAGAAGAAGAAAGTCAGAAATAAAGGTGCTTTCTTGGATCCCCGAGCTGCCCGGACTTAAGAGCTGGTCGGTGCGAAGAATCCCAGAGTCCGTGCCAAGAAACCTGGGCTTCCCGCAGCTGCTGGCCCCACTTGGCCGGCCATCCGTCCGTCACCTCGCTGGGCCTCAGCTTCCTGCATCTTCCAAGTCGAGCACACAGCCCCTGCTGGGCATATGCAAAGGCTCGGGCCAGAAAAGTTCACCCTGGCTACACTCTGTAGCCAGAAAACACTGCCCCCCCGTATCAGGAGTTGGGCAGTTTGCTGGGACGCCCCTCCTGGGCCCGAGACCCTTTGGCATTACCACGTGGCAACGGCGTGGGCCACGGCCAAGTCTGTCAACTGTTCTTCCGGGCGAGTGACTGGACAGAAGATGGAGAGGGAAGGGAATATGGGATGTTTGCAAATTCCTTGAAAAGGCTGAAAACCTCTTGGTATTTCTGTAAAAGCACAGGCTGACAAAACACCTGCTCCTCAGTATTCCAAATGAGGTAAGAGGGGCTGTTGATCAGAGATCACCACTGGCCTACAGTTTCTCCTCGACAAAAGCCACGGAAAAAAAATAAGATCTTCTCCCTTGCCCTCCCTTGCCCTTCCCCAGCCTGGCCTGGTCCCCTGGTTGTGCCGGTCGAGGCCAGGAGCAGGAAGTAGGTAACGTGGCCATGCACCCCCGAACAAGGAGGGGGCAAACCCATGCTGAGCGCTGGCCCATTGGGAAGACTGATTCCTATCTGCACCTGAGGCCCTGAGCAGTGAGTAATACCCCAGAGTATTACTTGGCACTGTATCTACAAGAGTACAAGGAGTATGTTAACCATTTGGGTCCCCTCTGACTTTTGGTGTCGCGTTTCACAGTGATAAGAAGACACCAAGAAAGCTGTGGCTCAGAGAAGGGGCATTCCCAATTTTAATGGATCTTTAACCAGACACGGAATGGAAAGATGTAAGCAAAGCGGTCAAGGGCGTGGGCTATAGTCAAGGGCACGGGATGGAATCCCAGGTCTGCCACCTGTGAGTTGTGCAGCCACGGGAAGGCCACCTGAGTTCTTTGAGCTGAACATCCCTCCCTGTAAAACAGAAATAATAATACAAGCGATTGTTATAAGAATTAAACGGGCTACTGTGTCTCAGGCCCTCAGTGCTGCCCTTCACCCATGGTCAGCCCTCAGTAAATAGTAGGGACTCAACACGGTCTCTGTGACATGGACAGGGCAGACCCTGGAACAAGCTGTCATTGCCAGTATGAGACTGCGGGAGATGCCCCTGTCCCCACTGAGGAAGTCCGCCAACCTGGCCTAGACAACCTACCATCCGACTGGGGTCAGCATGGAGGTTTTACCACAGAGGAGAAAAATGCCCTATGTTTCTACGAGCGTGGCCCATGAGAGCTTCTAGACTGACATCCCCCCTAGACACTTCGAGGCTTCCCGCTCCTACACACTTGACTCCAGCAGCAAGAGGCTCTCAAGACAAAGCTCCCCATCACAGAGATGGTCTCTCGGCCTCCGCTCACAGATGGTGCAGAGGAAGCCCCAAGAAAGGGACGGGCTTGCCCAAGGGTGCGGCATAGGCCGGATAGCGAGCCAGCCACTTATGACAAGGAAATGGGCAGAGGAGGCTGGGTCTCCCAAGGCAGAACCACCGACAGGTTATCAGGGAGAAGTGAAAGCTGGCCTTACAACAGAAGGGGATAGTGGCCTGCTTCACCTCCACTCCCCAGACAGTTACTCATTAATCAGGGCGCCTCTACTGCAATTAGAAACAAATAAGTAAATTGTACCCGTGTTGACACCCTTGCCCTCAACCTAATGATTAACCCGCCCTCAATGAAATGACTGTCTCAACAGAGAGTGTCTCAAAACCCTCTGCTTTGGGAACAGGACAGGAAACACGAGGACGCACTAACACGGGGGTAATCTACGGCGTCAGTTAAAGAGAGACGGCTAGGGGGCGCCTGGGGTGGCTCAGTCGGTTGAGCATCCAACGCTCGGTTTCGACTTAGGTCGGGATCTCACAGTTGGTGGGTTTGAGCCCCGCCTCCGGCTCCGTGCTGACAGTGTGGAGCCTGCTTGGGATTCTCACTTGCCCTCTCTTTCTCTGCCCCTCCCTCCCCTTCAAAATAAACAAAGTTTATTAAAAAAAAAAAAAAAAAAAAAAGGAGAGAGAACTATATTTCCCCAATCCACACAGCCTAACATATGAATAAACCCAGACGATTCCCCACCCCCCACCCCCACTGAAGGAAAAGGCTCTTAGTCAAGATCATGTGTTTGGCCTAAGTCCACCGTGGCTGGCCTCCGATGCTCCCCGGAGCACGGGCAGAAGTCCTCCCTCCCAGCTCTCCCCGCAGCTCCAAGGGACCGTGATGCAGAGGCTCACTGTCGTGAACCAAAAACAGTAAAAAGTAAAAGGGGGAGAACTTGTTCAGTACAACTGCTGCCGTTTTCAAGGGTCAGGGAAGGATGCCCTCGCTGGCCTGAAGGCAAAAAGATAGGGCACGTGGGCACCTCCACCGCCTTCCCTTCCCTGGTCACTCTCGGGTTCCAGACCTTGCCCGTGGCAGTCGGACCACGTCTGCCTTTCTTGCAGGAGAAGATGGGGCCGCTCTGCAGCCCGTCTGGGGGCAGGAGCGGGTAGGCGAGGCTTCCCAGGTGGAAAGCGTGGGAAGCAGAAGGCCAGTGAGCATGAACTTGGTAAAGGGTTTCTGGGAGCCTCGCTCGGGATGGCTCAGAGTGTGCCTCTCACGTTTCCTTAATCCACAGTGGGGCCCAGAAACCCCTTGCCCAAAGTACCGGCTTTGCCTTACCTGCTGAGACTACCCCCCTCCACTGCGGAAGCCTAGGGCACGAGGTAGAGAAGGCATGGGCCCCCATCCTGCTGCTGTCGCGGTTCCCCACACCTGTCACGCTCCCGCGGCTGCTGGAGATACAGGCACTCACAACAGGGAAAGCTGTGTCCTCCCGTGTTCCCACTTTCTCACCCCGTCGCTGTGCTCATAATTACCAAGTGCTTATAGGAAAGACAATTAGACGGAGTCCCCTGATAGAATGGTTAATTATTACAAGCCAGGAAAAGAGGGAGTCGTAGGCTGACCCCATCTACCTGGATGCGGTAACTAGCACTGTTTTGGAAACGCCCAGGCTAGAGCAGTGTTTTCACTGGAGAAGCAGCAGCTCATTACGATGATAATGTGAACTACACGGGGCCGGGGGCCGGGCCGCAGCAGCAGCATCATCGCTGATGAGTCAGGGAGAGTGCTGAGTGAGGCTAAAAAAGCTCCATCACCGATCCACCCCGCAGAGACCCCTCCACGCGGGGGCCCGGATCTAGCCCATTATGCGAAGGTCACAGTCCTCTCCTAAGCCGCTGGGTCTTCCCTACGGACCTTACAGGTCCTCAGAGCAGTGAACTTTGAAATGGGTAAGCGCAAATACGCACCGGGCCAGGGCCGGCCTCATGGGCACGTGACCTGCACAGTCACGGGGCCCAAGCTCGCAAGGAGCCCCCACGCCGTTTAATGCTCCGCCCCCCCTCTCTTGACCTTGACTTCTGAGCAGGGGCCCCCAGCACTTTCGTTTTGCACAGGGACCTGGAAATCGTGTCATCAGTCTTGCACCCAAGTCAAATTAAAAAACTAGACGATGCTAATAGAAAGTGAGACTCAGGAATCCATATGTCAACCCCCTTTGCCTTCGTTTGAGTCAAAATGCCCCACTCTTTTAAAATTCTGGGCAAGAGAAAGTCTGAGCCACAGAAATTTTTTTTTTTTTTTTTGGAAAGGATTTTATTTCAACAGAAACCCCTTACGAGTAGGTCTGACCCAGTCCTCGCCTCTCAACCAGCCCCTTCCCAAAAAGCACCTGTCTGACCTGCTGTGTCTGTAATCCCAAATTGAGGAGAGTCCCAGCTCAGCCCTGAGACAGCAGCCCCCTCTACTCCATAAAAGGAAATAGGATTGGACAGGGCAAGGGAGGGGGGCATTCCCTCCTGCTTCTCAGTTGTTTGAAAACATTGGCCCAGAGAGGGCCTCTACGGCAAAAACAAGTTTTAGAAACTCCGGATCAAATAAAGTTAATGTTCTAAACTGCAGGACTTGTCAGAACCTTTAAAGAGTTGCAAGGAATTGGGACTCTGGAACACTGCACTGACAGCACTTCCCAGGCTTATTTGACTCCATTCATCTAATGAGGCAAATAATGAGTGACCCAGTCACTCAGGGGAGTGTTCACCATCAGGTCCATAGAACTGAACCTCAGGGCCTCCCACCCATCTAGATCATTCCAAGAATCTGGAAATACCCTCACCAAATGTTCACCTGGTATGGTGATCCACCCTACAAAGTCACGTTTGCAGAAGTAAGGTGCTGCCATATATCCGTATTCTCAAAGAGAGCCGCTAAAATTCTACGACCTTTGGACCCCACAGAACGCACATCCTCCTCTGTCTGCATCCATCCCCAAATCTGGAGGCCCCACCCTTATGTCATGCCACACAGCTTAAAATGTACCCACATTCCTGTTCAATATAATTTAAAAATAACTCTAGGAATTGAGTCAGAGATGGAATAATGTCATTTGTTTAGTGGACATTTTTTTTTTAAGAATGGTCTTTTTTTTTAATGTTTATTTATTTTTGAGAGACAGAGAAAGAGAGAGAGGGTGAGAGAGAGAGCGAGCTAGCAGGGGAAGGGGAGAAAGAGGGAGAGACAGAATCCCAAGCAGGCTGGCAGCGGGGAGCCGGACTCTGGGTTCGATCCCATGAACCGTGAGATCATGACCTGAGTCAAAATCAAGAGTGGGATGCTTAACTGACTGAGCCACCCAGGTGCCCCAAGCAGACTTTAAATAAACATTCTTGCATATTGGCTTTGCTCTGTCGCAAGGAATGTGAATTTTGGAGGCAACATGTTAAAAATGTCCATGCCGTGATCACTTCCTCAGACCCCGGGGAAGCTCGAGGCCCCTGAGCACCAGGTCTACACCGCATAATGCACAAAATGGTGTCTCACTTACCAGCCGCTACCATTTGAGAGATGCTACCCTGGATTATGTTCACGGTCATTTCCACTCCAGAGGAAATGTCTGTCTAATGTCTAATTCAGACTAAAAAGAGACTGGGGTGGTGGGAGAGAGTCTGGGTTACGGAAATCGCACTTGTATTATTGTCGAGAAACAGCAGGTTTCCTTGAACTAGGTTAACAAGGTGTTATCTAACGAGACCTGAGGGGCTGCTTTAATTTAGGACAAGATTGTTGTGCAATTAGCTTATCAACTCTGTGTATGTAAATGAAGGCTTTTAAAGTCCTTGAAAACGGCGCCTGCTCTTAAGTAATTGAACTGCTTCCCCTGGATGCCCTTCACTTCTCTCCAGCTTGGACACTTCTTCTTTTAATTAAGCATAAATGTGCAAAGCGCTGTGCCTAAGGGTTGACATGTGAGCAAGACCCAGTCCCTGCCCTCCACCTGCCTATGGTCGAATCAGGAAGTCCCTGATCCGAATCAGGAAGTCAGCAACCTTCTTCCGCAAAGGGCAAGATAGCAAATACTTCCGGCTTTGCAGACCATTTCTGTTCCAAGAACCCGACTCTGCCCTTCTAGCCCAAAAGGGGCCGGAGACAGGGCACAAATGAAGGAGTGCAGCCAGGTGCTAATAAACCTTTACTTACAAAAACCAGCCGGGCTTTAGTGTGCCGCCCCCTGGTCTAATGAGAGAGACACATGTGGTATAAACCTAGTTCTGTGCTAGCCAAGTGCAGAGGGAGCGAAGAAGCAATTAATTGTCGAGGGGGAAGACAGAGGCTTATGGAGCCGTTGCCATTTGGTTTAGCCCTTTATGGTTCCCCAGCTGCTTTGTTCTTACCTGATTTTCCTCCCCCAAAAGACTGGAGCTTCTGAGGCCTGGCTTCTTCTTGTATCATTCACGGGGCTGAGCTAAAATGGGTGCATACGTCCTGCCTAGAACATTCTGAGTCAGCATCCAGTCGAATGAGGTTAACGTTGTAGAGCGAAGTGCGGACAGCAGGCTCTCCCCCAGGCTTCCTATACCCATTCCTGGTTTGGGAAGCCACCTTGCCTTTGAGAGGGATTACACAGTGTAATCTGCCGCACGGACCCCCCGTACCCTCCGCCCTAACTCCTTTATTGTTCTTGGAGACACTTTCTCTTTGCATTTCCAATATCCAAATGCCATGTAGTTTACTGTGACTTGTTTGCTCAAGGCTGGGCAAATAAAAGGAGAAAAGAGGCTGTGATCATCAGCGGGGCCTTAGCTATCACCTGCTCTCATCCCGAGCTTAGCAACCTTCAGGGCCCCATCCCCTAAACAGGCTGTGGGCCAAGGTTGCTTGAGATGCGGGGCTATAAAGATTGGACGGGAGACAAGGCACTTTCTGAAAGGGCTCCCGATAGCTTATCTTTAGCTCCACCAAGAACCAGGGAAATGATGACACCCTAGCAATAACAGCAGGTAAATGAATTACTCACCCAGAAAAATGGGTGGGGCTGATAACAGCACGACCTAGAGATTTTTCCAGTTAGAGGTCTCACCAAGAGATATATCCTGGGGTGGGGGGAGGGGGCGGTTAGCCCCTGCATCATCTCCATTAGCCCCTCTCCAAAGCCTCTCCAACTTAAAGATGTAATCTACATATTACATCCGCATTACATCCGCTACGTGTAATCTACACGTGAGTGCAGCACACAGGCAGTGGCACGGGACCACTACCACCCCTAAGCCCCTTCTCTAGAGACGCTCTTAGATCCGCGGCCCCCCCCCCCCCCCGCCTACGTATGGCTGGCATACACCCAGTGGGAGGCAGTGCCCATGAATTCCCCCAACATGTGTGTGACTCTCCAGGAAGCTAGAGGAAGTCAGACCAGAGAACACTGCATCCAAAATGTAACTCTTCTCAGCATATCCAATGCACTTAGCGCTGGGAAGCACCCTGCCCCTCCCTTCCTAAGCCGTTCCCGACCGGGAGCTGCAGTTTTTCTCATTGGCAAATAAGAAACTCTCTCTGAGCCACCCTCCTGCCTCTCGTCCAGCACAGCTCCTGACTGAAGGGGAGTCCCTCTGCCGGGTGAGCCTGGACAGGGCAATCGACGTGCTGCAGAGAAATCTCCCTGCCTGGACTACCCCCCTACTTCCTCTTCCCCTTCGCAGGGACTACCCAGCCTTTAAGCTCAGCCTCTAGGCTGCCTCTTCCAGGAAGCCTTCCCTTATCACCCCAGCTCTTCCAGCCCCCCTCTCAGAGCCTCTACCCTGCTTTCAGGCAGGCTCGCACAAAGTCAAACTTAATGATACCCTGTCCAATCTCACTGTCTCAGTACTCCGCATGTGTTCATTATCTCTACCCAGAGTGTGTAAGCCGTTGGCTGGAAACCATGCCTTCACTTTTAACCCCCTAAGCTCATTGCACAAAGCTAGACAAACAGCAGGTGATATAAACTGCTGTTGCCGATATAAATTCCAAGGATATAAAAAGAGTGCAAGCCCAGCAGCTTCCTCTTTTAAAAGGCGACACAGCCCTAGTAGTAACCAAAACCTGTGAGGCATTGCATATTTGAAACAGACTTGCCACATTCATGATGTCAATTAATCAGCAACCCGGGGGTGGGGGGGGGGGGGAACCACTCTCACAACACAGACGTCGAAACTGAGGGCCCGGGAGAGCCTCTGATTTGCCTGAGAGCAAAGCTAGCGAGTGGCCAAGAGTTGTGATTTGCACCCAGGTCTTGGGACACCAAGCCCATTATATTTCTTCCATCATAGGGGTCTGTGAGCCTTAAAAGGCAAGAGAGGATTCAAGGGGTGCCTGGCAGTTTGGCGATCGAGCAAACCGCAACCATCGGGAAATAACATAATTTGTTGATACTGAGACGCAGGGACCACAGAGATGATTTAAGTTTCCACCAGGCCTGGAAGAAGCAATGGGATTCAGACAAAATGGGAGGCAGGAGAGAAAAGGTGCGTGAAGGGGAGCAAGCCAAAGGTATCTGAAGGAGACGGGAGAGGTGTGGGGGCAACCACGTGGAAGAAGGGTAAGAAGAAGGCGGAGTCTGAGAAGGATAATACGGGGCCAAACTATGAGGGAGTCTCGAACCTCAAGCGGGAGATTGTGCAGGCAGTACAAGCAGGGACAGGAGGTGGGAGGAGTTTGTGAGACCCTCCCTCTGCCGGACCCCCCGAGAGAGACCAGATGGGGAGGGGGGTAAACTAGGCGTAAGTCAAGGTCGTTCCAAGCCCCCAAGTCAGAGAGACTGCTAAAATGTAGGTGTCATTAATCGACACGGGGGTGGCGAAAATTGCCACTGATTCGAACCGGGAAGGAAACAGGTGGCATCACACAATGTCAAATTTAATAATATCCTGTCGCTGTGCACTATCTCATTATTCCACACATGTTCATTATCTCCCCAGATTGGGTGCTAGCTGGCTTTTGGAAACTCTGTCTTCTTTTTTAGCCTCTGAGGCTCCTCAAGGGTTGAGCACATAGCTGGGGCCCAAGAAATACCAGCGGCAATCCATCTCAACACCATAAACGGGGCCCGACCCCCAGGGTCAGTGCAGAGGCGTTTCAGAGAGACAGGCACCGACTCGCTATGTTCTCAGAAGTATTTTTGCAGTGGCCGTCAGATGTGCCCAACAATGCCCAACAACAAACCGCTGCCCCTTGAGGGAGAGAGCGTCCTGTCACTCAAGGTATTCAAGCAGAAACCAGACAACCGTCAGAAGCTCCATGGAAGGAATCCCTGCATTGGGAGGGAAACCAGACAGAACAGCTCATACAGCCCCACGCCATCTCTCAGACGCTATGGTTCTAAAATGCTGTGAATTCGATCTCCCGTCTCCTTGGCATGTCACATTCAGAAATAGCCAGACTGACTTAAAAAAAGAAATCTCCATGCCTCTTTCTATTTCTTTCAAACCCTTTAAATGTCAAGTTCCAGACCACTGTTCTGCCTTGCCGGTTGGATACCAAACCCATGAGTGCTGGGTTGAGAATAGCATGCCTGGCGTGGCCAGAGGAGGGGTCTGACTTCATGCATTCCTAATGCACGTCTATTTTTACAGCCATGAGCCGCATCGCCTTCCCTTGCTGTTCACATCAATATCACACAGGGACGCTGACACAGGGCCATCTGTCCCCGCAG